AACTAAATCCTCACTCACCCTAGGCCCAGGTGAGCCTCCACCAGGGCCCAAAGGGGGCCCAGCAGGGAGGTGCCAACTGTCGACGCTGGCTTGATGCAGAGTCACTTGGATGGACTATATGTGTTCAAGTCAGCAGGCCCGTATGAGCTGCATCCGAGGGTACTGAAGGAATTGGCCAGTGTCATAGCAGAACCACCGGCACAGCTGTTTGAGTGATCATGGCACTCAGGTCAGATCCCAGAGGACTGGAAAATGGCCAGTGTGGTCCCGATTTTCAAGAAGGGGATGGAGGAGGATCCAAGTAATTATAGGCCAATCAGCCTCACCTCCATCCTTGGAAAGGTCTTTGAAAAGATTATGAAGGATCATATTTGTGGGAGTCCAGCGGGAAAAATAATGCAGCAGGGAAACCAGCATGGATTCGTAGCAGGTAGATCATGTCTGACCAATCTAATTTTGTTTTATGACAGGGTCACAAAATCCTTAGATGCAGGAGTAGAGGTGGATGTTGTTTCCTGGGACTTTAGCAAGGCCTTTGATATGGTATCTCATCCTAGTCTCATAAATAAATGAAGAGGCTGTGACAGATGTTTATACAGTCTGGCAGGTGGCAAGTTGGCTTAGTGGTCGCACCCAGAGAGTGACAGTAGATGGGCTGGTATCGACCTAGAAGGATGTGGGTAGTGGGGTCCCACAGGGTTTAGTCCTTGGACCTGTACTCTTCAATATCTTCATCAGTGACTTGGATGTGGGTGTGAAGTGTACTCTGTCCAAGTTTGCAGCTGATACTAAATTGTGGGGTGAAGTCCACACTCTGGAGGGTAGGGAACAATTGCAGGTAGACCTGGACAGGTTAGAAAAGTGGGCAGTACACAATAGAATGCAGTACAACAAGGACAGGTGCAGAGTGCTGCACCTAGGGTGAAAAATATCTAGCACATCTACTGGTTGGGAAGTGAACCTCTTAGCAGCACAGAAGCAGAAAGGGATCTTGGAGTCATAGTGGACTCCAAGATGAACATGAGTCGTCAGTGTGACGAAATCATCAGCAAAGCTAAATGCAATTTATCATGCATCAGCAGATGCAAGACAAATAGATCCAAGGTGATACTTCCCCTCTGTGTGGCATCTGTCAGACCGCAGTTGGAGTACTGTGTCCAGTTTTATGTGCCATACTTCAAGAAGGATGTTGATAGACTCGAGAGGGTCCACTCGTATGGTTAAGGGCTTACAGGACAAGCCTTATAAGGAAAGACTGAGGGACCTGGACCTCTTGAGTCTCCACAAGAGAAGGCTGAGAGGTGATTTTATGTCCGCCTACAAATTCATTAAGGGGACGCAGCAAGGGATTGGAGATGCTCTGTTCACTAGGGCTCCTTTTGGGATAACAAGGAACAATGGTCACGAACTGACAGAGAGCAGATTTAGGCTAGATATCAGAAAAAACTTCTTCACGGTAAGGGAGGCCAAAATTTGGAATGGGCTACCAAGGGAGGTGGTGCTCTCCCCTACCTTGGGGGTCTTAAGAGAAGGCTGGATAGGCATCTGGCTGGGGTCATCTGACCCCAGCATTCTTTCCTGCCTAGGCAGGGGGTCGGACTCGATGATCTGTTGAGGTCCCTTCCAACCCTAGTATCTATGAATTTGGGATAAGAAATATAGTATCATCTCCACCACACATTCTCAGACTATTCAAAACAAATATTTTATGCAATTCAATTATGGTGAAACAAAATGTCCCATGCAACTTCCCATTTTACATGTCTCAGTAGTTTATAGTACTATGCATAAACCCAGCATCTACTTAAGTATATTTTAATACATGTCAGATGAATTATTCTACTACTACAGAATATTAATTTTACTCGTATTTATCTGTATGAGCAGGATTACAAAGCTGATTAAAATGTGTGTATTATGCAAGGCAAAACAGAAGAAAACTTTATGTTGAAAAGAACAGCCAAAATTGGTAAGACTTATACAGTCAAGAAGCTGCATTTTATTTGAGAAGGATGCTGAACTTAAAACTCATTTATAAAAATATTTTTTTATTTGATCCATGAACACCATCTTAGTTACTTATGAATTTTAAATAATGTTCAGAATACAATTTAACATTATTCATTTTGTTTGCCTTTGTCAACTTAGGCAATGAAAGTAGTTTGTCATGTCATGTCTTCTTTTATGATGCTCCTTTGAACATTACACAGGATCTCTAAAGCAGCGAAAATTTAGGTCCCAATCATGCATCTGGACTGATACAAGCACACCCTTTGCTACTGGGCAAAAGTGACCTTTCAAGAGGGTTAGGAACTCAAGTTCAGCAGGGCAGCCCTGAACAGAAAAGGATTCTAAGGAGAGGGTATGCACGTACCCATACTCTAAAGAAGGAATCAGGGGTACAGGAAGATAACACATGGAATCTCTGCCCCTTACCACCCTCCACCCTTTTCTTTGTTTTAGATTAGATCTTAATTGTCAAAAGTCAAATACTTGTAGGAAAACAAATTATCCCAGCCCTATTATCTGTTCCCCTCCCAGAACAGATAATTTTAGGCCTAATTTTAGCAGTGCTGAATACACAGGCCCTGACACTTTATTTTATAAAGATTATTGTATCTGAAACAAAAGGCTCTAACCTTTTTTCTAGAAACACAAATCCACCTGCCTACTTTGTTTCAAGAAAATAGATCCCATACTTTTAAATGTTTTGCACCAACTGCATGCAAACTTTACAACTAACCTCTGTCCTGATGCAGTTGCTATAGGCGATGGTCCATTAGGGGCACGTGGTTCTTCACAAGTACTCATTTCCATTACTACTTTATCCAGGGACTTGAAAAATATGTAAAGTAATTTGGTATAAATTTAAGTTTACTGTAGTAGATTAATGGGCAATATTTAGATCTCTCACAGAACTGAACACTAACTAAGTACATGGAGTTAAAAATGTATAAAACCATTCTATCCGTAACTTTTAGTAGCACACAATAATCATTCACAATTTTTTAAAATTCATTCTTATATATAGTGCTTGCTTTAATTTTTCACATTTCCCAGCTCTATCAGATTTTTCCACTGTTGAACACAAACTGTTATATTTACTGATCTGTAGCCAATTACATATTTTATAACCATTTACATTTATCTTAAATTTCTAAAACAAGGGAGATATTTCTGATTTTCTTTACATACAGTCTTTCAGTATGACCTACTGCTATGGTTTGTTTGGGTTTTGGGGGGTGGGGAGGGGTTGGTGTTTTTTGCACATTTTAATTGAAATTGTTTGAATTGGTTTGATGACCTGAATAAGGATTCCCCACAAGATGCAGCTGCCTGACCCTTTTCCATTAATACAGAGGGCAAATTATTTATATGCTGACAGAGAAAGGAGCTACCTGGAATCTGTACCAGAGAACTCTCCCTGAAATTGTATTACAATATCTAGTGCAAAAAGAAGGCCAATTTAAATCATAAGCAAAGTTTCTTAACATTGGCCACCTTGTTAAGAGTCTGATTTCCTGGAATGTGTTCATTTCTAGCAAAAACCCCACCAATCACACAACCAGAGCTCTAACTACCAAAGCAATATATACAGAAGGATGCCAACTGGATTCAGGTTACTTATAAAGCCAATTCCTCTCTTCAGTTACTCATACAGCCACACCTAGGATAATGATACTGCAGTTGCGTAATAGTACCAAAATCTTGCCAACAGACCTTTACATGTCCCATACTGGATATTATATCTTTTCCAGAGGAGTCAGCAAGTCTGATGACAGTCTACCGTCAACTTCTAGTACCAATTTCCATTCAGTAAAATTGTCTACAGAAAGCTCACATACAACAAAACACAACATTCGGAAATACTATCTCCTAATCATAGACTGCTTATTTTCTGGTGAGCTGACCTCAGGAAACAAACAGGCCTTTTTACTTTGGGTCAAACTATATAATCATTACAAATAGCGTGACTTACATTACTTTTCAGATCTGGCAGCTGAATCTCAGAATCAAGAGAATGACTATTATTTTAAACTCTGTGGGTCCAGGGAGAAGTGGCAAAGAATTTAGCATGTTATGAATCAACTATTCTATTTTCTCAAGACTTGATAAAAAGAAAGGAGGCAGAAGGCACAACTATTACGGTGTGGCAGAAACCTTCAAGTATTCAGGGGGAGTTCTGTTGCTGAGCACACGAGGGACTCCCCCCATTGGATGCTCCATCCACCCCACCATCTCAGTGTTCACGAGCCATACCTGGTACCTTGAGGTATGTAGAAAAAAAACATACAAAGCTGTGTCTATGGCCAAATCATCAAATCTCTCCAAATTGATTTGGAGCCTTCCAATTTGATTCGGAAAGATTAATGGGTCTCCTGATTCAATTTGGATTCGGAGGTTGAACTGCCAAAATTGGGCCAAATCTCCTCCAAATTGAATCAGCAACCAACCCTAGTCTCTGCATCTGGTAATAGGCTTGTAACAAGAGAATGAGAGCTGGTTAATGGCATCCACACAATTCCAGCTCCTTCATTTCCTAGTCTTTGTTAAGTCCTGTACAACTATAAATCAGCAGGCTAACTACCTGTAGAAGTATGACTTATTACTGTCTAAAAACTGCATTGCAACTCATAGGAAAAATGTTCTCACTAGGTGCCATGATTAGGTTACTTCTGTACTTTAAGAAAGGTTCTTGAAGTCATAAAAGGAGGAAATAGAAATTTGCAAGTAGTCTAACAGACAGACATCCATCTTCCAGGTGTAACAGAAATTCTTACAAAGAATTATACAAGAATTAGTTTTTTTCAAACTGGAATCAAGTAACAGCCTAGCAATCATGGCCAAATGTGGGTCTTTTAAAAATAAAATAGAGTAAAGTCACCAAAATATTAGTTTTTTGATCTCTGACTGGTGGTAATCAATAGACAGTTTAAATATGCCATTTCTAAATAACCTTATTTTATTTTCTCATTCCTTCCACAAAATCTAATTTTAGTTGATTTCAGCACTCACCAGAGAAATGGGCTGAGTTTTCAGTTTTGTCCATGGTATCTGAAAGATAAAACATTACTCTAAAGCAAATCAAATACACATTAAAGGAAATGAGACAATGACCAAAATACTGCTTAGCTTTCTTAAGGTACAACATAACAGCTATACTGAACTGCTGTATTTAAATCTGATAATAATCTGATGCAAGAAAAATCATACCCCCCCCACACAAACATGATGTGTCCTTCACGCAATTTAATTTGGGACTTACTGGTGGCCAATACGAAAATGAACAAAAAAAATAATCCATCCCTTTAACTGTCCTGTGAGGTGTTAGGAAACTCCTACACAATTTGCCATATTAGTCCTTAGAAAGCAAACAAATACTCATATTTACTATATTGCCATATAAATCATTGGATGTCTACATCTAATCATTTCATTTCCTGTACTTAGATCATCAAGACAAGCCCCAATTACAAAAAGAAACGGAGAACTGAGGTGCAATGGCAAAACCAGAGCAGATCATAGGCCAAGTTGAAGACAAACCCTGGACTGATATCTCATACTAACACAGTCCAGGAAAAAACGGTAGGTAGGCTATTGCCTTCCTTCCTTAGAGAACACAGTAACTTCACATATAGAAGAATAACTGACATAACCAAGGAAATTCCCCATCCCTGGCTATAGCCAAGGGCCCCTCCGCATGTTATATTTTAGGCTGCAATTAACATGCATACACACCCTATTTTAGGCACCATAAAATGACAAGCCAGTCATGTCAATGTCCCACCTATAATGTAGAACATTTTTGTGGCTGATTGGTATGGTACCTTAAATGTATGGTACCCTGAATGTATGGGGCTGCCCCAGGGCTGATGTCAATAACAGGCTGATTGTCTGCACCAGCCCCAAGGACAGCTCCGATTCTGCAACTGGTCCGTGGGCTGCCCTATAGGCTCCTCCACTGAGGAGTTTAATCCCTGAACCCAAACCCCTGCATGGGGAAAAATGAGGCTCCTAAATGGGGAGCCAAAGGGCTTCCCCCCACTGGCAACTTCAAACCTAGTGGCAGCTGACTGTCAGCTCTAGCCCCGGGACAGCCCCAGGCCATGTCCGCTTTCAATGCTGTGAACATCTAGCTTTTGACTTGCCAGTGCTGGGGAAACCTGGGATTAAGTTCCAGGGCTTCCCCTGCACTGGCAAGTAAAAAGGGTGTGACTGGGTTTTGATAACTGATCCCAAAATTGTGCTTCTTATTGTGTGTGTGGCATGGCACAAGGCACTATTGTTGGGATCAGGGAATCAGATCCCATGGCAACTTTAAACGAACATGCGCCAGGTACATAAAGGTATGTATAGGTAAGCAGGTGAGGAGGGTGGGGGGCATCTCCTCTGGAATTGTCATCGTTTATATAAAGATTATTTACCTTCCAATGGAGAAAAACTAAGAAACCATCCTACATCCTGCCTTTTCATTTTCTACAGTTAAGAATAATTCATAGCAAATGTATATCAATATACAACTTAAAGTCGTTTTCATAGTTTTTGTCCTTTTTTTTTTTTTTTAAAGAGGCACATGATAAAAGGGAAAAGGAGAGAGTCTTGCTCAATTGTTTGGACAAAATGAAATGCTCACCCTAAGAGATGCTTTATTGCAAAAGACCTTGTTTATAGCAAGCCATGTCGGAAGATCCAGCATGTTCTGAAGCACTTCTTCATCCAATTCTAAATTGGTCAACTGACCTTCTCCCTTTAGTGTACTAAGATTGATCTTGTCAGGTGACAGGTTTTTGGTGAACCTAAAACAGAATATGTATGAAAGCTTAATAAATGTCAGGGAAAGCATTCAGAGCTACCTAGGTTATAGATGCGAACTCATAATTCAGCAAAGTAATGATCTGAAAAAGAATGTGCTTTTAGAGTAGAGTTTCATTCTGAAAAGTGACTTTGTAAAAATGGCACTGTGAAGTTTCATATTTGTCTCTCAATTACTTGAATCAGCTCTGCTTCACTCAGAAGTAAACAGGCAGCATCAACTCATTGGAATCTATTCTTTCTGGTTTGTCAACTGCAGGATAAAGATTCCATAAGCAGAATTTAGTTAACTATTCATTTAATAGTATAGGCTAGTTGTGCTCAAACTCCAGTCCACAAGCAGGATCTGGCATGTGGAACCTCATCATCTGGCCTGCGGTACTTCCAACAAGTCCAGAAATGCAGTGGTAGGGGACTGATATCACCATTTAATTGCTCCCAGAACAGCAGCAATTAACACTGTCACAACTCTCCCACTGCCAAACTTCCAGACCCAGGGGGAGTCCTGTGGTCTGAACAATACAGCCCTGTGCATAGCATACAGCCTGGATAACAGCCCCATGGATGGGATTTGGCCTGTGGAGCCAGATAGGTTGAGTAAATAGTGTAGGGCCAAAATAGAATAAGCTTCTTCTACAGTTGCATTTGCTTTTAGCTCTACAGTGGTAATAGGAGGGAAAAAATGTCTTTCGCTCTTTAAGTAGCTACGACTGAATATATTCAAGAGGGTTGATGTCTTGAGCAACCTATTTTATAGTCAATTTTCAAACTTTAATTTGCACATTAAAACTTAAAAATAATTTAAAATAACAACTAGGTTTTAACACAGAAGGTTTCAAGAATATATGGCAGAAACTATTTTGATGAATATACCATAGAGCAAAAAAAGACAGGTTCATACATCCCATCATTAGTGCTTTTGAGCGGAGGGTAGTCTTAAGTGTCAGAGCACAACTAAGTTGTCTTAAAATGCAAGAACTTATGACATTTCTAAACTTCAAGGATCAGTTAACTGATGTATGAAGTTATACTATTTTCTGTAAAGGTGCTGTGATTAATTTAAATAGGCTCATAAAATATTGTCGATCAACTGCCATATTACTGACAAAATATGGTAAAGTCCAAAGTACATGGCTAACTTGCATCCTGGCAGACATGCAATTACAAGGCATAATAGGATTTGATTCCTGATCCCAACAATTATACTTCCTCCCATGCCATATGTGCATGGCAGAAGGTGCAAATGTGGGATCTAGCATCAGATTCCAGTCATGTCATATTGTGTGGTCCTGGGGTCCCCCTGCACTAGCTGGTTAGGTGCCTAGCAATCAGCTGATGGTTGGTTAGCTCCAGGAACCCATATGGCCTTTTGAGCCCTCCTGTGGTACCCAGAGCAGGTCAATGATCAACTAACTGTCGGCAGATTGGGACTGCCCCAGGGTTCACTCCTGGCGCAGTCCCAATCTGCAGTAAACTGGCAGTGATCACCCTGGGGTTCCAGCCCTGGAGTGGTGCCTGCTAGCTGTCAATCAGGTAATCATCATAGCCCCAGGGTTTGAACCCCAGGGCCACTCCTATCTCTTATCACCTGGCAGGGGCTGCCCCGAGACTGGAATCCTGGGGTGGTCCCTGCTAGCCGATGATCAGCTGATTTGGATGGCCCTGGGATTCAAGCCACAGGGCTGTCCTAATCTCCTGCCACCTAGCAGAGACCAGCACTGCCATTCTAAGTGCAACTCATATTTTCTTTAAGTAAGGAGAAGCAGATTCCTAGGCAACCCACCAAGTTATTGTCAAGTTAAGTTTATCATCTTGGAAACTTTTCCCCCAGCTGTCTCTCATTATTTTAAAAAGAAAAACAAAAAAACCCTGTTTTTTACTGCTCGTTTTGTGGTTTTATATCTCCTCCAAAATTTGTGAGCCCATTAATCCTGCCCAGCAAACCAAAATGCCCAAGCATTGAGTATTCTGTGGATCATATTACAATGAAAGGATGTTAGCCAACTGGACTTGCTAAATATGCAGATTTCAACCACTATGTTTAAGAGAGGAAATCAAAAACACAGATCAAGAATTACGTAGGTGCTCTTATTAAGGAGAAAAGGATTGTTCATTCGTTAAACTTTTTAATGACATTTCTTTTCTGAATGTGTTGTTTGTAAATTAACCAGCATCTTCATTAAAAAAAAAATAACTGGAACTTGACAAGTAGTTTCTGAATAGTTATATATTGTTTATTGTTCAAAGTGACTCAAAACCCAATATTTGTACAAATCTGTAACTATAGCAAAGATGACTATAAATATATACCATGTTAAAAATGAAAATGTGTTTTAATATTGCCCACAATTTCAATACAATTGATAATGCTCCGAGTACAAAAGATAACAGGGAAATTAAACACACTTTGGCCTTCTTCATTTAAGCTACCTCAACTTTATGTTTATTCCTGCTTCCCTTAGATGCTCCAAAATTCTCATCACATCACAGCCATCATAGGGACTACACTGTAGCATAAGACATGGCAATGCTCTTGGGAACTCAGAGCAACAATTTCTGTTAATTTAAGGCAACTTCACGTTGTGTTTCCATACATGATTTTTTTACCTTCTTGGATATCTTTAAATGTATCTTCAAACAGCGGGAGACATGACTGTGACAAAACCCTAAAATGTTCAGATGCTCCCAGAGAAACATCCTGGGTTTCCGTGAGCTGGCTGGTCCCCCCACTCTGCTGAGCAGGTATGCCCAGAAATCACATTTACCACAGCCAGTAACAGAAAAACAAAAGGCTTATAAAGAAGAACAAAAACTTTATAACAATAAAAGGAGCAGTGTCACATACTGTATTTTATCACACTGTGTTTAATAAAAGCAAAATTCAAGAGAACCTGCTACCTATTTTTGCATGACGTTACCTCTACATATTTCAGCACTGACACCCAAACTGAAATCCAAAAATCTACACTATAATTTTTTAGAGTCACTGTTTTTGCAGATTTTCACCAAAATCTACTAATTCAATTGAAGGTCTCTTACAGCAGAGAAAGAGTAAGTCCCCAGTCCTGTAAACAATTATGTATAAATAGAGTCCCATTGCAGGTGACTACCGTAAAACCATATACATGCATTAGCAGAATTAGACTCCAACACTGTCAACAACATTGAAAGAAAATCTAATTACAAATGTATTACAAAATATCTTGTGTAAGATGATGAAGATCTAACTCATTTTGAAAAACTGGAGTGTTTATACATGTGCTCCAGGAGGCATAAGGGGGTGCTTTTTCAGCACGGGACACTGCTACACGTGAGGCTGGAAGCTGTTGGAGCACGATAAAGGCATGACATTAAAGGCACTCACAGGGTCCCCACAGTGAAAAACGGCAGCAGGGTGCTTTGAACTGAAGCTCATTGAACGAGATTTAGTTCAAAGTGCCCCAATGCCATTTTTCAGCACAGGACACTGCTACACATGAGGCTGGAAGCTGTTGGAGCATGATAATTTCCACACTCTAGCAGACTCGATTAATTGAGTCTGCTCCCTGCATGTGTATAGAAGCCCTTTAGTATTAACATAGTCTTGACTATATTGTTTTAGTAAACATAGTTTGAAAGAAAAAAATATGGCATTTGAAAACTAGGCTGGCTTGTTTGGCCAAACTGTCCCCATATCAAAAGAACCATCACCAATTATAACAACCTGAAATCCTTAAGAGTAATGTTAAGTTAAAAATCTTTCTTCTTTTACATTTTTGTTTACTTGCATTAATGCTTCAAAATTATTTTTTCCAATTAATGATCTAACTTACTCTTCATAGTTTATATTTATTCCATCAGACCTTGCACAAAGCAAACAGGAATTTTAAGTTTGGTTAATCATCAGCTGTTGGTTTCACTCTCTGCTCCTTTTCATTAACATGAGTAGGGTTCTCAAGATTAGATTAGAATATAGAGCAGAGTCCTGGAGCATGAGGCCATGTCCCTGGGGCACTACTACAATTGGATCAACGGCTCTCCTGTCAGGAGAGAAACATGAATTCTCATTACTTGCTACAAGTATTGTAAACATCTGGAGGCTATAACAGGCTCTGCTAAGTGTAAGCAGGCTTTCTGCCCTGACTCCATCCCCCACACTGCTGCAGCAGTCTCACCTCAGCCAAACTTGCAAACGTTTGGTTTAGTAACACCGCAGAGTAATCGGAACAAAAATGTTCTCGTTGATTTATTTTTAATTTTATGAAGGCATTTGTTTGGTAATACTCTCTTACTGTCCCTCAAAACCTACATTTTAAGTCTGAGCTACTGTATCTTCTAGTGTCTCATTAAATTCAGGTTTAATAGTCAATGCAAAGTGCTATGTTAACAGCACATAACATTTGAGACTGTAAGCCCACAAGCATCAAGACTTTGAAAGTTATGGC